GGGTTTTGAGAACCCCATATGGCCCTCAACTCATTGGTCTGCACTCCCGGCTCTGCAAGCCCGAAAGGGCTGAATGATAGGGTGCAGGGTTAGGGTCTTTCAGGTTTTGGACTCGCCCCCTTCCCCTCCCGGTCCCCAGGAATTATCCAGAAGAGCAACAGTGCAAAAAAAGAGAGATGATCCTAAGACCTAAGGCAGTGAAGAGTCGTGCCTTGCGGCACCAAGAAGCATAAACCCGGCGCCTGCGTCCCCGAAACCGTGTTTGTTCTGGAGGAGCTGCCAGAGTTTGAGGAGGGGGACAAGGCTGAGGAAGAGGAGGCTCAACCCAGAGTCCTAAGCCTTAAACCCCTCAAAACCCTAGACTCCCAGACCCACAAAGCCCGTGAAAATCAGGCTCAGGGGTGTATCAACCACCCGAGACCCTGGACCCCAAACCAATTTAAAGTTCCAGGGCTACCCAAATCCTAAACCCTAAGTCCGAGCGCTCAGGGTCTAGAGCCATCAAAAGGCAGAGAACAGTCTGAGCACATCGATATTTCTGAAGTGTTTGTGGAAGTTTCAAGGCGCGGGCGGCACCGAGCCGTTGCAAACCTCTGCCGGGTTTAGGGCTTTAGGGCTTAGGACGGGTTCTTCTGCAATCCCTTGGCCCTTGGAACAACCCCTCCCCCCCCCCCCCCCCCCCCCCCCCCCCCCCCCCCCCCCCCCCCCCAACCCCAAAGAAACAAAAAGAAACAAGCAGAATCAGGTAGCCTGGACAAGTGAGGGTCTTGGTCTTTTGGGGGGTTCCCAGCTACCACGCGGCTCCGGATAGCCAGGGTGTGCACAAAGAGACCTAAACCCTAAACCCTAAGCCCTAAACCCTAAACCCTAAACCCTAAACCCTAAACCCTAAACCCTAAACCCTAGACCCTAGACCCTAGACCCTAAACCCTAAACCCTAGACCCTAGACCCTAGACCCTAGACCCTAAACCCTAAACCTAAACCGTAAACCCTAAACCCTAAACCCTATTGGCCATTAGGGAACTGGCCACCCTCCTAAATCCCCCAAACGAGCTTAGAAGTTCTGGCCTTGCAGGGTCAGAGCTTCCCAAAGACCTGAAAGCCAAGCTAGAAACATTTCGGGTTTAGGGCTTGGGGTTTAGGGTTTAGGGTTTGGGGTTTAGGGTTTAGGGTCGCCGGATGTTTACGAACCAGCTAAATGGCCAACGCCATGCATTCCTATTGGATGCCCACTGCTGTCGTATCTAAAAGGGTAGTTTCATGGGCCTTGAGTATGGTCCCCTTGCCTACTTTAAAGGGTTGTGATGTAGGGGCCCTTTGGTTGTATAGGCCCTTTTGAAGGGCCCATGCTAAGGGGCCATGAAACTGCCCCAAGAGCATCCTTGTTCTTTTGGGTTTTGAAGAGGGCCCCCCCCAAGCCCAAGGGTACGACCATAAGGGTTCCGAGAAAGCCCACAACCTTTAACCCAAAAACTTTCTCCGGCCCCTGCTGCCGTCTTCACACAACGGATGGTGCTGCAAGAGTTTAGGGAACACGGCCCCAAAACCCTAAACCCTAAACCTTCTAGAGTTTAGGGAAGGTGGGCCCGTGGGGTATCTTGCGCATGTTCCCCTGTTAGGCGTAGTTCAGTGCATACTTTCTTGAGTATGTTTTAAGGAGAAGTTCAAGGGGTAATCTGCTCAGAAGCGGCCCCAATTAAAACCCCAAACCCTAAATCCTAAGCCCTACAAGCCCCCAAGTCATAGACCCTGAGCATTGAGCCCCCAAACATTCCTAAGTGCTAGTCCTGCACATAGAGTCTCAACCCTACACCCTACACCCTAAACCCTACACCCTAAACCCTACACCCTAAACCCTAAACCTAGTAAATAGCCTGAGCCCCAGTGAGACGAAGTTCACACTCGTATGACCCCGTGTTGCTGAGAAGCACGACATTGCTTGAATTTGGATTAAGCTTTAAGGGGTCTAAAGCCCCAAACCCTAAACACGAAACTCCAAGGCGCAACCCTCCAGTCCTAATCCCCGCTTCAGAGCAACACCTCGAGCTTCGGGGGTAAAGCCATGGAGCGCACGGCGTCCGACCCTGACCCTGATCTTGAAGCACCTCGCATTGCATGGGTTGTACCCTAAACCCTAAACCCTAAACCCTAAACCCCAAACCCTAAGCCATTGCGCTGATGAAAGGCGCAGAATCCCTCGGGCCAGGGCGCCCTGTGCTACCCTCTTCCACCTCAACCTACCTTCGCTACGAAACCCCTCAACAAGGGGTTTTTGTAATCATACTCTTCGGAAGCTGCTTTTCTCCAAACCCCGAGAGCAGTGCCTAAACCCGAAACCCGAAACCCGAAGCCCTACGCCCGAAGCCCTGCGCCCTAAGCCCTAAGCCCTCAGCCCTAAGCCCTAAGCCCTAAGCCCTAAGCCCCAAGCCCCAAGCCCGGCACTGCTGGGTCTCATGCAGACCTGAAGGCGCAAAGAAGATTGGAAGAAACTGGGGGGGGGGGGGGTTGATTTGGAATTCGTTTGTTTAGTTCATGAGATCTACAGCAATCCCTCTATAGTCCCTGCAGAGCCCACAAAAAATGTTAGCGTTTCTAGAGAAGATTTGGTGCTGCGGATGAGAACGTGAAGGCTCGAAGGCCGTGACCCTGAACGTGGGGGTTCAGGCACGTATGAGGCTCACAGAGCTTAAGGTTGGGGATTCCCTAAACCCAAAACCCGAAACCCGAAACCCGAAACCCTAAACCCTAAACCCTAAACCCTAATCCTTACTTGGGCCTCCAGGGTCGTTACTCTGAAGTCCTTCGGTCTTCTGTGTATTTGCTGTTTGGGGGGGCCCTTCGTGGCAGATGAGGTCGGGCACTACTCCTCTGACGAAACCACCGAAGACGATGTGTCGAGCTGCGACAGCATGGATGAAAAGGCGGACTGCTGGTTTAGGGTTTAGGGTTTAGGGTTCTCTTGGTGAAATCCCTAAACCGTAACGTACTACTGAGACGCCAACACGGTACCGACGCAATCCCTACATCCCGAAACCCTACGGTACTAGTCCCCAACATGGTACAATGGCCGCCCTTGCAATATGGGGTCGGAATACGTAATGACTACTAGTATTCCCTTGTGGCGCCTTATACATATACTATAATGATCCCCAAACTCCTAAACCCTAAACCCTAAACCCTAAACCCTAAACCCTAAACCCTAAACCCTAAACCGTGTGGCCCCTAGTTTTTTTGTCCCTCAAGGCGCACACGCCCCAAACCAGCGTCACATCGCCCCACCCCCCCTCCCCCCCCCGGTGGCCCCAGAGTCCAGGTCCAGAGGTGTAGCTCGACCTTGCTCAGCATGATCTTTAGGGTTTAGGGTTTGGGGGTTTAGGGTTTAGGGTTTGGGGGTTTAGGGTTTGGGGGTTTAGGGTTTGGGGGTGTAGAGTTTAGGGTTTAAGGTTCTCGCATCGAGAAACACTTCGTACCCCAAAGCCGTTTAGTCGTTTCAGAGGCTGTGGGTTGGAGACTGTGGAAGCTTTTCCAGCTTCGAGAGCAGAAGAAGAACCAGGTAGGAACTTTTCTCATCTACACTTTCCCGTTCTGCTGGGGACCTGGTCTCGGCATATGCCCCTAAACCCCCCCTAAATCCCAAAAAAACCCTGATTCCCCTAAACCCCCCTAAACCGTAAAAGCCCTAAACCCTGAACCCCACACACCCATATTTCAGAGGGTGCAAGAGGGCTTGCAGGGTATGCGGGGTTCGGGGGTGGGAAGCCCCTCAACCCTGAACCGTGCATCCCAGGTCCTGAGGCCCAAACCCTAAACCCTAGACCCTAGACCCTAGACCCTAAACCCTAAACCCTAAACCCTCAACCCTAGACCCTAAACCCTAAACCCTAGCCCTAAGCCCTAAACCCTAAACCCTAAACCCTAAGCCCTGAACCCTGAACCCTAAACCCTAAACCCTGAACCCTAAACCCTAAACCCTAAACCCTAGCCCTAAACCCTAAACCCTAAACCCTAGCCCTAAACCCTAAACCCTAAACCCTGAACCCTTTAAGCAGCTCTATCGAGCTGAAAGCCTGCCCCTTCGGCGAGGCGATTACGGACGTTACGGGTGTCCTCGAGGCGGCTGAAAGTAACCCCCCACGAACACGGCAATACAAAGGGTTTAGGGTTTAGGGTTTAGGGTTTAGGGTTTAGGGTTTAGGGTTTAGGGCTAGGGCTTCAGGTTTTAAGCTCAAGGTTGCGGGTTCTAGGGGTTTAGGGTGTAGGGGCTACGGATATTTCCCAAATCAGGCACAACAACCCTGCTTGGGGGCTCCTACAAAGAATTTATGGATTTTTTTTGGTGTATTAAGGGCACGCCTACTGTTACCACACACCCTGCCATATGGGAGTCGATAGGGTTTGCATTGCTGTTTTCGGTGAGTGTATAGGGTTCCTTGTCAACATTGGTGAGTGTGTTTATGGGGTGCCCCTTTGAGGATACCAGCAATAACTAACCTACTTTACAGGGGTTAAGGGTTTAGAGTTTTTGGACACCGCAAGTGAATTCTCTGGATGGTGCTTGAGGATTCGGTGTTTTGGTTGACGACTTGGTTTTTGTTGGCTTTTGGAGTTCGGCGTTTATGCGAATTGGGGCTTATAGGGTTGAGGGTAGCTTTTCGAGGATGGCTGTTCGTGTTGCTTAAAGGAGTGTAAGGTTTCTTCGTCTCGTTTTTTACAGGAGGATTTCCCAATAAATATGGGGTCCGCCCCCCCCGTGACACACAACCAGAACCCCCCTGGCACCTGGTGTTTCTTTCGTGTTTCTTTCATAAGGGCATTGACCCTTGTAAGACTCCTTAGAACTACCCAAACCTGAACCTAGCAGTGAGGGAATCCCGCGAAGTCCCTCCTGGACCCTAAGCCCCAAACCCTAAACCCCAGACTCTAAACCCTAAATCCTAAACCCTAAACCCTAAACCCTAAACCCTGGAACCTTTGTAGCCTTGGCAAGGCATTCTGCGCCATGGAAAGGCGAAGACTGCGCCGAAGCTCGGGCTTGGCATGTAAACTTCATCCCCCAAACTTCCGAAATCCCCAGACCTCAACTAGTTCAGGGGCCTTAAGAGGTACTAATGTCATCCCCAGACATATATATATATATAATATCTATCTATCTATACCATTATCTATCTATCTATCTATATATATATATATATATATCATGTTGTTTATATTCGTTCTGTGTTTCCCTCCCCCCCCCCTCTCTCCGTTTCCGCGTGCCCGAAGCGCTCTCACCTGGGCGCCCTGAGCGCAAGACAGTTTAGACAGTTTAAGAGAAGTTTCATGGCCCCTCAATATCCTCAATTCCCTACTCCGAAGCCACAAACCTCATGTATGGAAAGTCCACAAGTTCTAAGGGAAGTTACACGGTCCCTTCATACGGCTTACCTCCCTTAAAGGGTTCTGAAGTATGGGCCCAGTGGGCTTTTAGAGGGACAACAGGTGCATGCTCGTTTGTTGCTGTTACACCCCAACAATCCCTTCAACCGCCCTGGGATACACATGTCATGGTGGACGGTACAGGTTGTAATGACCATGGTTGCGGGCAGTTTGCACACGCTTGAACTCTAAGCTTCTCTGCTCTTGCATTCAAGGAATCCAGAACGGCCGTGTCGTGAAGGACGGCCTAGGAAGGTGCAGCTGCTGTCCAGGGTCTATAGGGCTTTTGTGGGGCGACTTGGGGGGGGGGGGGGGTACTTGGGAATATATATATATATATATATATAACAGTATGTATTTATAATATATGTATATATAATTATAATATATTATAATATATATATATATAATATATTATAATATATTATAATATAATATATATATATATATATATATACATATATATATGCCCACATATATATATATATATAGAGATACATATCAATAATCAACGTATGGGCTACAAGTAGGGTAGGCACAGGGGGTAAGCCGGACCCCTTCTGAAGGTCCCTTCTGGTGTCCCTTAGTGGCCGGCTTCGAGCTCCTACCCTAACGCTAAACAAAAAAACCGTTAGGGTTTAGGGTTTAGGGTTTAGGGTTTAGGGTTTAGGGTTTAGGGTTAGGGTTTAGGGTTTAGGGTTTAGGGTTTGCGGTTTAGGGTTTAGGGTTTAGGGATGAGGGTTACAAGGCCTACATAGACTTCTGTACTCAGTACTCCTTCAATTTGGGGCAGTCGGACTTCACTGTCCTAGAAGCGGTTCACGTACCCATGAAGTAGATGGTTTCGAGCCCCAAGGAGAGAGACGTTTTGGTACGTGACAGCTACATCTGGGCTTTGGGGTAGCGCTTGCAGCTCTAACCCTTCTAAACCGCCCATCTCAACCCCCAGTTGCGCCCCAAGCCCTAGACGCCCTAGACCCTAAGGGCCAGGCTGAGGACAACACGGTGACAACACGGGCTTCCAGGGTGTTGAGCCCTAGCACCGAAGCTTAGCAACCCCAAACCCTAAACCCTGGCCCTAAACCCTAAACCCTAACCCCTAAACCCTAAACCCCAAACCCTAAACCCTAAACCCTAGCTAAACTCCCTAAACCCCCCTAACTCCAACCTGCCATTCCCGGAAGTGACGGAAGTTTAAACCCTCAACCCTAAGCCCTCAGCCCTGAGCCCTAAACCCCAAGCCCCAAGCCCGAAACCCTGGCACCTGTTCCCTTGGGTGCGCTGGCGTGATGGGTTCAGGGCTTAGAGATGGACTCACAGACTGGAGGGTTCAGGGTTTAGGGTTTGGGGTTAGGGATTTGGGTTTTGGGTTTAGGGTTTAGGGTTTAGGGCTACTCAAAGGTATAGGGTTTAGGGTTTAAGGCTTTAGAGTTACTTCAGGGTTCAGGGCTTAGGGTTGAGGGTTTGAGGATTGTGCAGGCACGTCAACTCGGCGATGAAGGCCATCATCGTGGTGATGATCTTGGCCGAGCTTCCCAAGCTTCAGTTTAGGGTTTAGGGTTGAGGGTTTTCAGTTGTAGGGTTTTCAGTTGTAGGGTTTAGGGTTGTAGGGTCGTAGGGTTTAGTTTAGGGTTCTGGGGTTTAGGGTTCAGGGCTTTGGGAAGTAGGGTTTAGGGTGCACTCCGGACATGTGACATTTCAAAGGCACCATCGCCCTAGAAGGAAGACCCTTCAGCACTGTAGAGATCTAGGACGCCCAGTACCCTAAAGCCTACACCCTAAACCCTGAAACGCTAAATCCCTAAACCCTAACCCCCCCCCCAAAAAAAAAAAAAAAAAAAAACAAAAAAAAACAATACATGGACCCTGAACCCTAAAACCCGAACACCCTAAAACCCTAAAACCCTGAAACCCCTAAAACCCTAAACCCCTAAAACCCTAAAACCCTAAAACCCTAAACCCTAACACCCTAAAACCCTAACACCCTAAAACCCTAAAACCCTGAAACCCCTAGAACCCCAAAACCCTAAAACCATAAAACCCTGAAACCCCTAGAACCCTAAAACCCTAAACCCTAACGCCCTAAAACCCTAAAACCCTGAAACCCCTAGAACCCTAAAACCATAAACCCCAGCGCAGTTAAGCGAGGCTTTTCAACATCACCACGCAGCGCTTTGGCGTTCAGCAGCTCCCCGGCCCCAGAAGAGAAGGGGGTCAGGATTCAGGGTTCAGGGTTCAGGGTTTAGGGTTTAGGGTTCAGGGTTTAGGGTTTAGGGTTTAGGGTTTATGTAGGGTTTAGGGTTCAGGGTTGAGGGTTTATTTTCGGGTCTTGGGTTCAGGGTTTAAGGTTTATTTTCGGGTTTAGGGTTCAAAAGGTTTAGGGTTCATGGTTTTGGGGTTGCGTTGCAACAAGAATCGGTTTAGGGTTTAAGGTGGTATCGTTGGCAAGTACGAGGTTCTTTAGAAACACATAAGGGGTTTAGGGTTTCGGGTTTCGGTTTTCGGGTCACTTCTTTGTCTTTTAAATGATGGCCCGGGTCCTGTTACTATGCAGAGCTCGGCAGTTAGCGAACCCTCAGAAGGAGGCAATCTTCAACAACACCGCCCACTGCGCTTGCAGCCGCCTTACGAAACCCAATCGATAGGTACTGGATCATTCCGGCTGCGATCACCTTCTTCCTGCTGCTTCCGGCTGTCACGCAGCCTGCCTGGAGCTTCAGGGCGCAGGAGGAAAGCCCTAAACATTGATGCCAAAGCCTTTCAGGATGAGGGCGAGAGAGCGAGAGAGCGAGAGAGAGAGAGCGAGAGTGAGAGAGAGAGAGAGAGAAAAAACAACAAAACAAAAAAGAGAGGAAACAAACAGACTGTCCCCTCTAAGGCCTTTCGGGTTCTCACAGTACTTACTCACTCTCTTCCTGCTGGAGGGTTTCGGTCTATCTCTCATAAAATCCCAAGAAGCCCGTCTTGGTGATGTGGTCTTTCCCTTCGGCTTGATTATGAAAGCTACGGAAACGGATCAACATGTAGGCACCATGGGTGTGTTTATCCTGAAGTCAACATCAGTCATTCGTTCTTGCCCTTAGAATCCACCCGTCATGACAGCCATGCCGGAGAACAGAACTTTGCATTTTGCTTCCTTCTCCCGTTTGATGGGTTTGGTCTTTGCTGGGCGCAGGCCCCGGCCGAAACGGGCCGCGCAGCGCTAAACCCATCATTAAGATGCAATTTCGCATGAGAACTATAAAGCTGAACCGTGCAAGAACTAATTAAGACATTTAGGAGGACAAAGCTGGATTCGTGGATGCATGCTCCAGTCCCGAAGACAGGAAGAGACAAAAAAGGAAGCAACTACGAGGCGACAAAGAGGGGCCAACGAGAGGAATGGCGGGTTGGAGGGGAGGAGGGGCGGAGCGGCAGGGTGGGGGCACAAACTTCAGCGCGCAGCCAGGCAAGAGGACTAGAGGTGAGGTACCCCGAGGCCTCGGCGGATGTTGCAAGGAACCGCACGAATATGGGTAGAGAGAGAGAGATATGGCGCGCTTATGTGTAGAGAGAGAGAGAAGGAGAGAGCGAAGCTTCAGCGAGTTTACCCTGAATCTTAGGCCCCAAACACCCAAACCCTAAACCCTAATACTCCCTAAGCCCCAAAAATCCCCTTCAGAATGGAAGCGCAGATTCCAGCTTGCAAACCCTCAGCCCGGCGAGTTTCGGCTTTTGTTTCTGCCTCTGCTATCTTAAACTTCGTGGCGGAGTAGGTAGCTCGGGTCCTTAATCGGGATTCTAGTACCCGTTATTGCAATCCCATGAAGGACTGTTAGTATAAGGGGGAGCATCCCAATAGGTAATCTTCAAAAAAAGAGTTGCTTGGTACGACAGATTCTCCTTAGAGCCCCAAGGTAAGGGGTTTGGGCATAGGGGTCGCGGGGTTGGTCTTTGGCCCCTACAACATTGGTTCAGGGTTTAGGGTTTAGGGTTTAGGGTTCAGGGTTCGAGGTTGCTTGAGGCTGCTTTTCGGAATTGGGGTTTGCAGGGTAGGGCTTATAGATGCTATTAGCCAGCCAGGCAGACCATCTACTACCCAGAGCACACGTTCACGCTCTGGGTGGCGAAGATGCATCTCACTCCTTGTGCAGTTTGACCGTTTAGGTTCTTACCTGACGGCTGAAATGTTTTTGTGGCAATATGTCGTCTTTTTTCGTCATGAGGAAATTACAGTAGGCCATCCAAAGAGGAAATACATTCCGACCTCTAGGTAAGCAGTCAACCTGAGATCTCTAGACCTTCCTGGTGGTCACCGCTGCCTTGCGGAAATCTATCCAAAAGGGTGCGTACATGCCAGCGTCATGCCGAAAGCAGCTTGCCTCCCTGAAGCCCGAAGTAATCCCTGAGCCCCAAAGCTCCTAAGCCACCGACCCAAGGCCTGAAACCCCCTAAAATGGAGCAATCCTTGCCGTCCAAGCCTGAACCCTAGACCCCAAACCCCCAACCCTAAACCCTAAACCCTAAACCCTAAACCCTAAACCCTAAACCCTAAACCCTAAACCCCCTCAAGCCTAGCCAGCCCTTGGCCTTGCACATAGGGATTCTCCTGGCAAGCCCTATGAACCCTAGACTGCTACACCTGGGACCCAGAGTAGGCCCTTATTCCTTTGTTTCGGGGTTTAGGGTTTAGGGTTTAGGGTTTAGGGTTAGGGTTTAGGGTAACTAGGACCCAGAGTAGGCCCTTATTCCTTTGTTTTAGGGTTTAGGTTCCCTTACAGACCAAAAGGACCACCCTTTTATTCCGAGGTTACTCCTGAGTTTAGACACCTAAACCCGAAGCCCTAAACCCGAAACCCTAAACCCTAAAACTCTAAAATCCTAAAACCCTAAAATCCTAAACCCCTAAAACCCTAAAGCCATAGCCGGAGGGCGAGCCCTAAGGTGGGCACGGAGCTCTACATCTTCTGCCTTTGGTTCGCCTGGTTCTTCGACGTGCGCAGGAAGGCGCCTTGTAGGGCTTAAGGGTTTAGGGTTTAGGGTTTAGGGTATTCGATCCCTAAACTTCCTAAAGCCCTAAAGCCCTAAAACCCTAGAGCCTAAACCTTGGATTTTGGGGGTCGGGATCCCTTGTCAACCTTTTTTATTTTTATTTTTTTGGGGGGGTTTCTTGAACACAAAATGGCGGTGCCCTTTTCGTTCTTAGGCTTGGTTGAGGGCGTTTTACAGAGTTTAAGTCTTGAGTTTCGGGTTTGGGGCATCCAGCCGCTGTAGCCCTAAACTCCCCCTAAGTCCTGAACTCTCAATACCCTCGACTCGAGGACCCAGAGTATTGCTCTTTTTGGGGCCCGATAAGCCCCCTTCGAGCCAAAAAAGGTATCCTTTTTTTCTCCGGGGTTGCTCTTGGGTCTGCTGCTAAACCCTAAACCCTAAACTCTAAACCCGGTTGCAGGAGGATCCACCTGTGGACACCATGAAGTGGTGTTGGGATTTGCCGCCCACGACTTGGCTCTCTTCTGCGCCCCTTCTGTCATAAGGCGTCAGGGTTTAGGGTTTAGGGTTTAGGGTTCCGGGGTAAAACAAAGAATCCCCGAACTGCTAGACCTTAAGTCAGATTAGAACATGTATGGCCCAGAACTTGAGAGCCCGAAGATCTCTAAACTTCACCCAGCCGCCTCAGAAAGTTCATCAAGAGCTGAGGACCAGTTCTGCCTGGATATCCACCAGTACAAGGTTGGACCCCCCCCCCCCCCCCCAACGAAAGTTGTAGGGGCAGTGCGGGGCCAGGAGTTCAAGGGGTTTGCACCCGGAGAAATATACCCCTGACTCGCCCTAAACCCTAAACCCTAACTAGGGGTTTAGGGTTTAGGGTTTCGACTAAAGAGCCAAACCCCTAAAGACCCAAAACACCAATAAGGCCCTTAAAGCACTAAAAAGGCCCTACAGAAGGTACCAAAAAACCCTAAATCCTCCAATCCTTTGAAAGCCCGAAAAGCCGAAATCTCGCTATGTGGGTTGAGTTTGAGGCTTTGGGGAAGCCGTTCAGGCATGAAGCGGCTTAGGGTTCAGGGTTCAGGGTTCAGGGTTTAGGTTTTAGGGTTTAGGGTTTAGGGTTAGGTGTTTGGGTTCTTAGGCTTTGTGGGGTTTAGGGCTTACAGGGTGTCTAGGGCTTGCAGGGCTTAAGGCTTATGGAGTTTATAGGATTTGCATTGGGCTTGTAGGGTTTGTAGGGTTTTGCTCGGCAGGCGATCATCTTCTTCGGGATGGTCTTCATCGCCGTGTGCCGAGTTTTCGCTTCGACTGTGGGGTTATTAGGGTTTCTCAGGCTTTTTGGATGGCAGCCCAGTGGTACCCTTTTCGCCTTTTTTTGTTCAAGGTTCCCTTGTAAAAGTAGCCAACCCCCCCCCCCACCCACCCACCCAAAAGGTGCCGTTTTATTATCATACTGTTGCTAGCCTACCAAGCCTTGATGTTGCCGATGGGGACCCTACACCCGAAACCCTAAACGCTAAACCCTAAACCCTAAACCCTAAACCCTAAACCCTAAACCCTAAACCCTATAAACCCTAAACCCTAACCGGTCGGGGGGGGGGGGGGGGTTTTGCTGGCTTTGGAGTTCGGGATCTGCGAAGGTTTGCGGGGCGCTTGAGCTTTTCCAGATGGAGGGAGCCCGAAGACCGAAAAGCGCACGCCAAGACCGGCCTTTAGGGTTTAGGGTTTAGGGTTTAGGGTTGCCTCCAACCCATCAGCCCTATGATCCAGAAGCCCTCTTGGCCCCTGTGAGCCTTCCACCCAGCTCTGCACCCGAAACTCTCAAGCCCTCCCTGACGGAGGATTGATAGGGCTTAGGGGTTTAGGGTTTAGGGTTTAGTGTTTAGGGTTGGAATCACCCTGCGCCCAAACGAGGCACTCGGAAATCTTAACACCCTGAACTCTCTGAACACCCGAAACGCTCTAACTCTAATCGCGAAACGCCCTATGCACTCTAAGCTCTAAAAACCTTAAACCCTGCGCGTCCTAAACGCCCCAAACACCCTAAGCGCCCTTAAGCCACACATGCTAAACCCCGAAGCCCTGAAACGCCAAGGTCACCATCCTCATGCTTCTTGGCACAGGGGTTTAGGGTTTAGGGTTTAGGGTTTAGGGTTTAGGGTTTAGGGTTTAGGGTTAGCGCTTTTTAGGGTTCAGAAACCCCAGATTTGGGGTTTGGGGGGGGCTTAGAGGATATAGTTATGCACTGAAGGAGATTTGAAAGGGCTCGAGAGAGGAGGCGGAGGCCTTCAGTTGCCACCGCCTGTGTCGAGGACGTTTTTGGTTGGGAGGGTTTAGGCGCAGGGTTTAGGATTTCTGGGGTTGATTCGGTCCCTAAACCCAAACTCGGCCGGATGCAAGGAGGCCAGCCGGAGCAGACTTCAGGTAATTGGGTTTCGCAAGGCAGGCTTCGAACCTGTAGGCGCCCAGCCGATGGGTTCCTGGACCAGCGCTCCAAACAACAAAACAACCTGATTCAGTGGCTCCAATAGGAACCCTAAGTCGGCTTAGGGTTTCGAGTCAGGGAGATTCTGTAGGGTCTAGGGTTTCTGGGAATAGGGTCTTTTGGGGGTTTAGGGTTCAGGGACATTCTTTAGGTTTTTGGGGTTTTTACCGGCCCGGAGCTAAACCCTAAACCCTAAACCCTAAACCCTAAACCCTAAACCCTAAACCCTAAACTCTTCAGTGTCAGGTTCCTTCCCCACCGCGTGCTGCTGCCTTGCGCCCTCCGCATGCACTGTTGCGGAGACCGATGGCTCGTGTGGTGGCGCAACCCGGCTTCGACTTCCCGCAGGTCGTTTAAGGTTTAGGGTTTAGGGCTAGGGTTTAGGGTTTAGGGCTAGGGTTTAGGGTTTAGGGTTTGGGGTTTAGGGTTTAGAGGTTTTGCCTTGACGGGCTTTTGCTGGGCTGAGGGTTCGCAGCGGTCAAGGCTTGATACAGGATCCTTAAGGCAGGAGGGGGGGTTCATGCGGGGTTTAGGGTTTCGGGTTTAGGGTGTATATAGGGGTATATAGGGAACCTTAGGGAAGCTTAGGGAGTCTTCGGGAGCATGACGGAACCTTGGGTTACACACCCCCGAAACCCCTTCCCTTTGAAACCCCTTGCCTTGAGGACCCTGTAAGGCTATACAGGCCTCGGAGGGTTCCGTAGGCAGCTAGACGCCCACGGTATACCATGACCAGCAGTGTTGAGTTTGAAGCATGTCTTTAACTACTATTTGCTTAAAAGAGCCCCCCCCCCCCCCAAAAAAAAAAAAGACACAATGTAATCCCGACATGGCCCATTTTTAGGAAGAATATTTTGTTATGTGTGGGGGGGGGGGGCTTCTTAAGCAGATGGTACTTAAGTCTTCCAGGTTTCGGGCTTGAGTTCACGATCCTGAACGGTCAAAGCCGTATGCTGGGCATGAAGTTACATTATATATATATATATACATATATATATACATGTATATATATATATACATATATATATATACTTATATTTATATTAAGGTATGTATACATAATACATAACTATATCTGTGCAGCAGGACTGATGAAGTTGTTGACCTTTTACAGCACCATCTGGCGAGCCGTTCTCGCCAGTCGGAGAAGAGTCAGACCCGCCTCTTTTGGTGGCAGGAGCCTCCCCTAAACCCTAAACCCTAAACCCTAAACCCTAAACCCTCTAGGACCACCCCCTGTGTTCGGAAACCCGCATGCTTGGAGTTCATGGTACTTATAAATCAAGTTCTAGCTGTACTTATGCACCATATTAGGGCACTTAAGGGGCTTATAAGTGGGCCATAAGTGCAGCTATTATTGGTTAGTAAGTACCATGAACCTCCAAATATAGGGCCTTTTGCCCCCGAACCCTAAGCCCCCACGAGGCTCCGTGCGGAAGGTTCACGGATCGGGTCCACACCGCCTGCGCCACTACACGCGGCCCGGAAGCAAGAGAGGGTTTAGTGTTTTATTGGTTTTTTGGGGGTTTCAGAGATTTAGGGTTCTTGGGGTTTTAAGGTGTTTAGGGTTTTAGTGTTTTCTAACGGTTTTTAGGGTTATTTAGTAGGGTTTCTTAGGGCTTTTAGGGTTTGAGGGTTTGAGAGTTGAGGGTTTTAGGGTGGGTGGTTTTTGGGGTTTTTAA